AATAATATCTTACACTTACCATAAAAGCATTTTGCAAATGGTTAAGCAGTCTAATCCTCATAAAGTTAATTCTTGTATCATTAGGGAGATAGTTTAAATGGCTAACTAATTTTCTTTTTTTAAACTTGTTTGGACCTTTGAAGACTTTTCTGTGGAAAAAGTTCCCCACAGTCACTCAAAAAAATTGGCAGGGTAAAGATGGCAATTACGAGATCTTGTGTGTCACAGAATTGTAAATACAGGAATCTTCTGATATAGGGAGAATAAACTACTAATATTGCAAATTACACATTCTTATCTGGGATCCACATTGGATTAAATACTAAAGAATAAAACCTAAATTTATTAAGCTTCTCTTTTCTATTGCCTTATTTCATATGTCACTCAATGAACAAAATTTCTTGGTGTTTTCAAGTACTTCACAGAATACCTTTTAAGTAGACCATATTTCTTCATTGACTTTTATTAGTAATAAATTTAATTAAGGGGAAAAACAATCACATTAGTTTAATTTAACATTTAATTGAAAACCTGAGGGGTTTTTCCTGCTTTCAACTTGTTTTTAACCATCCGTATTTGAGTAATTGAAAGTTCTTCCAGATCATGCCTATGTAACAGTTTCATTTTTTAAATTGTAAATTACAGAGGACTACAATTTGTTATAGTAAAAGCTGAAATATGGTATTTTCTGTTTAAGTGTACCATTTCTGATATAGCTCATGAAGAAACAGAGGCAGCCTAGAAATCTGTCATCTTAAATTAATGATAAACTTGATTGTGTGATAAAAATAATGTTTTCTAAAAAAAACCCACATGTTTTTGCAATTTAGAGGTAATTCTGGAGCACTGAGATATTGCACCAGAGTACAGTGGTTTATTGGTACATGAAATCCTCATATCATTTGATGGAGGTAAATGGAAATGTAGTACGAAAACACTGCTGGGCAAATAAGGTGCACACACAAGTCATGATTCGATGGTCATTGAAGGTGGAATCTGCAAATTTTTTTAGCGCTTAATAGTTAATTAGGCACAGGTATTCTAAAAGCAGTTAGCACATTTGTTGAGTCAGATATCAAATGGCATTAATGAGCTGTTATGTACCATAAGCCTGAAGACGGTTATGAAGGCCATGATTCCTCTGTTAGGCTTGCTTGGATTTTATCTGTATGTCAGAGTGTGAGCCCTTTCTCTCACTTGTTTGGGAAGGTCTTAAGATACAGACCTAGACCTCAGGTTGCAGCTGTAGTGCATGAACAGCCCATTTGTTTTCAGGATTTTCATCTGATTCTTGTGTAAACCACCAGCCATGCTGAAGGTCACTAACAATCATACCTTTTCTATGTCGTAAGAAGGACAGAAAAACTTGGCAGAGAAGCAGTTTGCCAGTTCTGTTATGTGGGTAAGATTTCTTCTTGGCTGAGATCCAGGTTATAGAGTTTTTCTTATGCATCAGCTTCACCCATATAGGTTAGAAACCAGTAAAAACCCCTACCCGGCCAACATCCTGCCCCAGCTCCAGGCCCCCAAACCTCAAACCTTCCCTACAATACTGATTAACCAGGGCAAGCATGTGACAAAAAACATAGCATGTATCTACCAGGGCTTGTCATGTGCCTTGGACATCTTTGGGTGTGGTTGGAGACAAAGAAGAAAAAGACCACCTTTTACCCTGAGTAGGCCCAGGGAGAAATAACAGACTCTTTCTCTAATAACAGAGGGGACTCTTGCTACCTTCTTTATACTGAGTTCAGCTCCACCAGAGCCCTTTCACAGTGAGATTAGAATACTTGCATGCAATTTGTTACACAGTATTTAGCAAGTAATTTAGCAAGACTCAAAAGTGATTGTACAGAAACATACGTAAAAGAGGCAAACACAACACCCACAGTAAGACACGAGGTAAAGGAATGACAGAACGGTATTGAGAAGAAATATGTCGTATCCAATTGAGTTTGGGATACAAATCAAACAGAGGTTTGTACTTTCTCTCTATTTGAGTGAAATCACCTCTCTGAATAAACTGTTGCCTGAATGCTAAAAGCTTTCTTGTTACTTGACAGAGTCAACTGAAAAACACACTTGTGGTCATAGACATCTGTCACCTGACATCTTAATCACTTTTCTCAATCTCATTCTGTTTCAATTTGATGAAAAATTTTTGTAGTTTCTGTAGTTGCAGTAATTTTTTTTCTTTTGTAGTTGTAGAAATACAAATGACAGTACCATGAGCTGTATTTTAAATGAGTTTATTTGTATCCAAGGAAGTCGTCATGAACACTAAGTAGTATTGTGAGTCCAAAAAACCCCCACAACCCACGGTTCATAAACCGTAGCAAGATTATTTGTGATGTGCAACATAATTCTTAAAAGGTTTATGCAAGTAAACTAAAACAGTACTAATCTCATTTTTCAATAACATTATTTTCTTGTGTTATGTGTGCTTCAGTAAATGGAAACATTGTAGCTGTTTCCTATCTGAAATTCAAGAACCATTGCTTCTCCTGAATTTCTGCCTCATCTTCTTTCCAGGCTGCTAAATCTCAGTTTAGATAAACTAAAGAATCCTAAAAGTTGAATTAGGCACATTTTCTCCCTGGTGCCGGCACAGGCTCTTGCTGAAACCTGCAGTGCTTCCTGTACCACAAAGCACAGTTACAAAAGCGTGATTTAAGGAAGAGAAAGTAGTATGAACAAAGGGCAGTGAGACGTAAAGCTTAGCGAGCCTAATGAACAAGGGTGGAGAGGTAGGCCAACAACTGTTAATTCCTACTGTCGCTCAGGAAAGGTAAAGTAACCAACCAAGAGAAGAGCTCAACGTGCAAATTCAACTATATATTTTACATCTTTTCCTGAGTTCTGTGCTGTTTATTTCTCTTGTAGCAAAATCGATGATTTCACACGGTGAGATGAGTGCAATATTGAATGACTAAACGAATATATTTTTGAGTATATTTTTCTATCTATCTTTATTCAGTACAAACAATTAAGCCTACATTTATTTTTGATCATCCTATACAAGGTGAATTGTGAAATCTCATCCTATGTAAATCAAGGGTTTATCTTGTAGCATCTAAAAATCACATAGAGCACTCAACTCCTAGCCAATGATTAGTTTATACTGTGTGCATTTAAAAGAAGCACATTCTGATTTAGATTTATTTCTGGTGAAGCAATATTCATCAGTCAAATAAGAAGAATATTATCAGAATTTAAATTACTTCTAAAACTGCAATGGATTTTTTTTAATGCTTCCACTGGAGTTGGCTGTCTTGTCATCCTACAGATTTCCAGCTCAGTGGCTTATAGAATTTGACAGAAAGCCATGTTGCT